TCTCCCCATCCCCATCACCTCCCTACCACCTCCCCCTCCACATCACATCCCCATCCCCACGACCTCCCCATCCCCCTCCCCATCTCTCCCTCACCCACAGGGGAGGGCTGGAGGGGTTTCCTTACCCCGGCCACGTCTGGTTGGGCTCGAAGAGGATGAGGAGGGTGGGCTCGTAGTAACCGCACAGGAACTGCATGTCGATGATGTTGAGCAGCTTCTCGTCCAGCTCCCGCACGTCGATGATGTAGCTGGGCAGGAAGCTCGACTTCTGCCTGCCACCAAACGGGGATGTGGGCTGGGGGTTCTAGGGGGGGGGGGGATACCCCAAAAAGCCCCCAAGGGTGGGGACCCCATGGCCTGAGCCAAACCAGCATGGGGCACCTCTGGGATCTGGGCCACGTTGAGTCAGGCGTTGGCCACAGTGAGCCAGGAATTGATGGAATGACCACACTGAGCTCCGTGCTGGACACGTGGAGCTGAGCATTGGCCACACTGGGTCACAAATTGGCCACATGGGGTCACAAATTGGCCACACTGAGCCATAAAGTGGGTGAGGTGATCACACTGAGCTCCATGTTGGCCACGTGGAGCTTAACACTGGCCATGTTGGCCACAATGAGCCACACATTGGCCACATTGAGCCATAAATTGGGTGAGGTGACCACAGTGAGCTCCGTGTTGGTCACATGGAGCTGAACATTGGCCACGTTGGCCACACAGGGTCAAACACTGGCCACACTGAGCCACATATTGGCCACATGGAGCCATAAATTGGGTGAGGTGACCACACTGAGCTCCGTGTTGGACACATGGAGCTGAACATTGGCCACACGGGGTCACAAATTGGCCACATCAAGCCATGAATTGGGTGAGTTGACCACAATGAGCTCTGTGTTGGTCACATGGAGCTGCACACTGGCCACATCGGCCACGTTGAGCCACATATTGGTCACATGGAGCCATTAACTGTGTGAGTTGACCACACTGAGCTCCACGTTGGCCACAAGGAGCTGCAAATTGGCCATGTTGGCCATACTGGCTCACACTGAGTCACTGGTTGGTCAAGTTGACCATTCCTGAGCTCCATGTTGGCCACACCAGGCCATGTGATGGCCACACTGCACCACCGTTGATCAAGTTGACTGCACTGAGCTCCATTTTAGCCACATGGAGCCACATGCTGGCCATGTTGGCCACACCAGGCCATATGATGGCCACGTTGGGCCACAGGTTGGTCAAGTTGACCACTCTGAGCGCCATGTTAGCCACATGGAGCCACATGTTGGCCATGTTGGCCACACCAGGCTATGTGATGGCCACACTGCACCACAGGTTGATCAAGTTGACTGCACTGAGCTCCATTTTAGCCACATGGAACCACATGTTGGCCACACCAGGCCATGTGATGGCCACGCTAGGCCACAGGTTGATCAAGTTGACCGCACTGAGCTCCATGTTAGCCACGTGGAGCCGTGAGTTGGCCACGTTGGCCATAGTGAGCCACGTGAGGGCCGCACCGGCCACGCTGAGTCACAGACTGGTCAAGTCGACTGCCCTGAGCTCCGTGTTGGCCACAAGGACCCACGTGGTGGCCGTGCAGAGCCACAGGGTGGCCATCTTTGCTCAGCCCCGCAGTCGCCCTCTCTCACCCCTCTCCCACCAGGCCCTCGTGCTCGTCGGCCAGCGAGTCTCTGCGGAAGGGCAGCACCACCAGCCGCGTGCCGTAGATGAGCATCACGGCGCAGCGCCCGTCGGGGTCCACGCGCACTTTGGGGATGTGCACGTTCTGCACGAAGCCGTCCTGTGCGTGGCGAGAGTGGAGGGGGGGGGTCACGGGGCTGCCCGTTCCCCCCAGCACCCATCCCCACCCCCCAGCCCCACAGCCACCCGCAGCTCCGGCTCCTCGAAGTAGTGCAGCGAGAGCGTCTTCAGGTCGTGCGTGCCGGGGTCGTACTCCACCACTGAGAGCTGCAATGGGGGCGACAGGGTGGAGCAGGGACACACGTTCCCACCCTCATTACATCCCCATCATGTCCCCATCCCCATCCCATCCCGGTCCCTGTCCCCATTATGTCCCCATCCCATCCCACCTCCATCCCATCCCCATTACGTCCTCATCCCATCCCATCCCATCCCCATCCCTGTCACCATTATGTCCCCATCCCATCCCCGTCCCTGTCCCCATTATGTCCCCATCCCCATCCCATCCCTGTTATGTCCCCATCCCAT